GTAGAACATCAATCCATAAACAGAAAATGTAATAATATAGATTAGTGTTGCCCAATTATCGATTGTTCTTGCCTTTAATTATCAGAGTGGTATTTATTATAATTGAAATGATTTTCTTAGATATAAAAGGTGATATAGTATTTGTAATTAATATATCTATATGTATGTTGAGAACTTTAATTTGCTAATAGTTTTAGTGAAAATTTTAGTCTACGGGAGGGGAGCTCTAACCACTTGAGCTATCCCTCACTCTCTGTTTCATTAATTTTTGATGTTTATTAAAAGACATTTACAAATAAGTATTTACTAATATGGCCACTAGACCTGATAAAACCAAGCCTCGCCTGAAGAAAATCTCGAGTATAGGCAACCCAAAAAATCAATTTTTATTTTTATTTTTTATTTTTTTGCTTTGCCTATTGATATAAATTATGACAATATAATTTCTATATGTTTGATGTGTATGTTTTATCAAATTTATTTGTTAAATATAATTAATTTTCTTAAAAACTATTAGATTTACCGTGCATGGCACGGGCCTTAAGCTAGTTAAATATAATAATGACTCATTTTATTATACACTAGTATTGTGCCCCGCGCGATACCCGGGTTATTTATTGAATTTTAAGATTTTTTTTTTTTATTTATATGCCAAATTTTTAAAAAATATCATTGATACAAACAGTGTTATGTAAAAAAGCGTATATCCTTTTTGATTTAGGACATTTTGACGTATGAAACCCTTGATTTATGTAAGAGCGCAATATATATTATAGAAATATTTAAATAGACACTCTTTATGAGAGAAATATCTATGTTATTCAAATTTTTTTACTCATGGAATAATAATCTCTTAACAATCATACTTGTAAAATAAAAAAATAAAAATAAAAATGGTATTACCGCTTATAAAGTTGTGGTGGTTTTGGGAAGGATTTTGGGCTATCTGGTAGCTGTTCAAAGTGACGCAAGTAGCATGACCAGAACAATTAAAAGAAATTAGTTTGGAGTTGTACCTATTTTCATGTTATTAGATGATATTTATAGGATAAGTTGTCTTAAATTATACTCATATCTGTTAGGCAGGTAATACGACGGCTCATATGGTAGCAAAATGGGAGATTGATATGTATTTGTACATAAGAAATGCTAGAAGTTTTGTTGTTAAAAAAAGTCTAAAATTAAAAATCATATTAAATTAAATTAAAATATATCATAATTATTAGTACCATTGCAACGTATGTAGTTTTTCCCAACTCACAAATTATACCCAGTTTTGGTAAAAAAAAAAAAAAAACAAGCAAATTATAAACCCTCTTTGCATGAAACCTACTTTTTACCTCAAATCTCTCGTAGCCAAGAACTCCAATATCCTCCACCATACTAGATTAGTGCCTGTATGATGCACGGTAGTAATAATTTTTTTCCCATAAATAATTTGTGATGTAATATAAAAATAAGGCAACTCATGTAGACTAAACAAAAATGCAATGCATATAAGAAAAATGAAATAATAAAGTAAAAATTATAAAACTATAATTGAGAAAAAATTTTTTATTGTTGATTAGTTATTTAGTTGTGTTAAAAATATTTAAAAAATAGTATACATTATGTTTGGGTCCAATTTACTCCAATTGGGCCGATCCACAAATGATTCATTTACAAAGCCCAAATGAAGGTTCAACTCTCCTAATACATGCTAAGTCAGTCAAAGACCCAGTCAACATGGCAAGCCCATTTGACCTCAAGGCCCAATTTATCTATCTGAGTATATATAAAAGCCTTGGCTTCTCTCTCTCTCGATTCATTCACTTCAAGCCTCAAACATTAACTCTCTTGCATAGCTTTCTCTCCCTAACACTGTACTGACTTCGACATCGAAGGGGCTTTCCTCGGCATAACCCCCGAGGCCAGTTTACGTGTGTTTGCTGTGCAGGAAACCCTCGTCCCAATCATCACTTGGGCCGAGTCCAATCTTCATCCCACTAGAAAGGTCCAGACGAAGGACCCATTGTTTTCACCCGAAACAATTTGGTGCCGTCTGTGGGGGAAGACATTCCAAAACAAGCCAAAACTCCACCATCTTAGCAACATGACTAAGAGCGGAAAGAGTGCCAAGAGCACCAAAAAGAATGGTCCTTCTTCCTCGAAGAAAGTCCCAATTCCATCTTCACCCTCGAAGAAGGGACCACCTTCTTCATCATCTTCCGTGGCAACCTCGTCGGGGAATGCTGTCTCGACAGGTCATCTCACAACACGGGTCAGTTGTCCAACTCTTGGCGGCTGAGCCGGTCAAATGCTAGGAATCCAACTCCTAGCCGCCATTCCCAATCTCGTCCAATGGAGACGCCCCAAATGTGTCCCACTTCGGAGGAGATGGAAAGAGCCCTCGCTACCTTCATGGACTTCATGAAGGCTCAAGCGAATCAGCATCTCCCACCTCCCGCTCCCTCGGTACACGCTGACTCCATAGAGCAGCCAAGGTACCTAAGGAGAAGAAAAGGGCAAGAGGAGGGAGAGCGAGTTCCATCTTTTAAGGAGCTAGAACATTGGGACGAAGATACTTGGAGAACTGAACAGGAAAGAAAAAGAAACCCCCAGTTCTTCGAGAGGTTCAAACCCTGAAGCTTCAAAAGCAGCAACACCCCATCCACGTGGCAAGAGTCTGCCTGCCGAAACGTTCACGAACGTATCGGCCCTAGGGAGGGGAGCGTACCCAGTCGCTTCACCTACCCCGAAGGGACTGCACCTTACCCTGCACTGCCTTAGCCGAGGACGAAAACCACTTCAAACTCTCTGAGAGGGGGGAGCGAGGCCCCAACGGCTGGGAACAAGGGAAAAGCAGTGATGGTTCCCTCCACTTCCCCATTCCAGAGCTGGATTTTGGAAGAACATGTATCGATGGTGAAAATCCCGGCACACATCACATATGATGGTACTTCAGATCCGAAGGACTACATTGCCTCCTAAGAAGGGCACATGTACCTGAACCCCAGGTCCGAAGCGACCTAGTGCAAATACTTTCCAACTACTCTCAAAGGTGTTGCACAAGCATGGATCACCAAGGGAGTAAAAGAAGTTTTGATAACTGGTTGGAAAGACCTTTCCAACAAGTTCAAGAGCAAGTTTTCTACGGAAAATCGCCGAGAGAAAACAACTGCAGAACTGATGAGTCTGCAATAAGGGGAGGACAAAAGTCCCGAAACTATCTGACTCTCTTCAGCAACGAGTCGTCAAGAATCACAAGTCTAGACCAAGGGTTATCCGTCTTTGCGTTGCGGAACGGGCTACAGGCTGGAAAGTTCCTCGACTTCATGGTCATACACACCCCGCAGACCCTGGAGGAAGCTCTTGATGCTTAAGATAAGTACATCCGAGCCGAAAAGTTGAACAAAACCAAGTCCCAATCTCAAACTGGGACTAGTAAGGCAAAAGGACAACAGTCCGAAGGCCAAGGCTAGAGGAAAGGGAAGGCGAAAGCCTCAAAATCGTCCTCGAAAACCGAGCCGAAAAAAGAAAAAAACCCCATTCATAGGGAAATACAAATCCTACACTCCTCTCGCTCTTCCGCATGCTAAAATTTACAGCATAACGAAGAACGAAGAGAAGTGGAAGAAGCCGAGGCCGCTCCCATCGTGGCATCAAAACAAAAATAAGGACTGATGGTGTGAGTTTCATGAGTCTCCTGGACATCACACCAAGGACTGTATCCAGCCGAGAGATTAGATCAAGGATATGGTCCAAAAGGGTTATCTAAGAAAATATCTCGCGGATCGCCGCGAAGAGAAAAAAGTCGAGCAAGACTCTCGGCTGCAACTGGATTTCAACTAGGAAAAAGAAAAGCCGCAGGATAAAGAGCATCCTGACATCCTTGCCATTTCTGGGGGGACGAGCTCCCGAAATGCTCAAAAGCGCCACTTGAGGGGTCTGACCCATCAAGTCAACCATGCCTCCATCGAAAGTCCAAAGTCTCTAGTACCGAACATTATGTTCACAGCCGAAGACTGTCGGGGGTGGCATACCCCTATGATGATCCGCTGGTAATCATCACGGGGATCGCTAACCACAACGTCTGGCAAACCCTCGTCGACGGTGGCAGCGGAGCAAACATCCTGTTTCGGGATGTTTTTTCGACCAACTGAAGCTGCAGTCTAAGGACCTAATTCCAGTACCCTACCTAGTATTTGGATTTAATGGTTCTACGACATATCCGAATGGAAAAAATCATCGTTCTCGTCACCATCGGCAGAGATCGAGCAGCTCGAAATGTGATGGCCGAGTTTTTGCTCATGGACATTCCATCTGTTTATAATGTGATCATGGGGAGACCCATGATCCATCAAATTCAAGGAGTGGTCTCCACGTACCATCAAATGATGATATATGTTTCTGACGAAGGCCACTACAAAAAAATTCAGGGAATCCAAGAGGTTGCCCGAAAATACAACTACCTTAAGCCATCCAAAGAACGTCGTGAAGACAAGGATGATGAGGAAAAAGAAAAAGAGAGAGACCAAAGTACCAAGAAGCAGAAAGGCTTAAATGCTTCGGCCCAAGGGACCCCTGCCCAAGAAAAATCTAAGGGGAAAGGAAAGGCGAGCTCATCATCCAAACCAAAGGTTTCGGAAAGCCAGCCGAAGTCTGGGATGCCTGCTGACATCGATAGCAGACCAGATTGTGAAGAGTCTGGTTCCAAAGCAATGGAGCTGGACCAGCAGACTGAGTTAATTGAGTTGACCGAAGGAGACCTAGAAAAATGTGTCAGCATCGGGCTCGGACTCTATCTGAACATCCGAGTTGAACTTATCTAACTCCTTCGGGACAACAGAGATGTATTCGCTTTCTCAGAAGCAGACATGCATGAGATTGATCCGAACCTCATCTTCCACAAGCTGAATGTCGACCCCACCTGTCGACCGGTTAAGTAGAACAAGCAGAATTATTTCGCTAATAAGAACCGAGACATCACATCAGAAGCTTAAAGACTTCTGGATGCAGGTTTCATCTAACCCTGTCAATATCTGGAACGGCTTGCCAATGTGGTGATGGTTCAGAAGGCAAATGTCACCTGGAGAATGTGCGTTGAGTTCATGGACCTAAATAGGGCTTGTCCGAAGGACTTTTATTCCTTGCCGAGGATTGATCAGCCAGTCGACTCGACAAGTGGCCATGCTCTGCTTAGTTTCATGGACGCATTCTCGGGGTATTATCAAATCTTCATGCACCCCGACGACCGAGAAAAAAATGGCATTCGTTACGAACGTCGGGGTATACACCTACAAAATGATGCCCTTCAGATTGAAAAATGCTGGGCCAACATATTAAAGGCTGGTTGATCAGATTTTTGCCGAGCAAAAAGGCCGCAACATGGAAATTTATGTTGACGATTCCATCGTCAAAAGCAAAGAGGACAAGGACCATGTCCCGGACCTGGCCGAAACCTTTTCCACCCTTAATTAGAAAGCACCAAATGAAGCTGAATCCGAAGAAGTGTGTCTTCGACGTGAAATCGGGTAAGTTCCTAGGCTTCATGGTTAGCAAAAGAGGGATTGATGCCAATCCCGCCAAAGTACAAGCAGTGCTCGATCTTCCCAAGCCAAAAACAAAGAGGGATGTCCAGCGCCTCACTGGGAGAATGACAACCCTATTTAGGTTCATCTCCAAAGCCTCGGACAAGGGGTTACCCTTCTTCAAAGCGTTGCAACTCCCAAAAACCAAAGAGCTCATCTCGAAAGATGAGCAAAAAGAAGCCTTCAAGCAGCTCTCAGCACCTGGCTCAACGCTGGCCCACCCTGCAGAAGGAGAAACTTTATACTTGTACGTGTTAGTTTGCCCTGCCACCATAAGTGCGGTTCTGCTGAAGGAAGAAGAAGTCGATCTACTTCGTCAGCCACACTCTGACGGATGCCGAGACCCGCACCCCCTGCTTAAAAAAGTTGCATATACAGTAGTTGTAGCCGCTCGGAAGCTGAGGCCCTACTTTGATTAGCATCAGGTAGTGGTCCTAACTGATTCAGCCGCTGGAAAAAGTCCTCGGCAAAGTGGAAAAATCTGGTAGGCTGGCAAAGTATGCCTTCGAGCTACTGCCCGAGGACAGCCATCAAGGCACAAGCTCTAGCGAACTTTCTGGCTGAATGCTCGTACCAGGAAACGGTAGACGAGGAAAAGAAGACCTGGACCATTTTTACGGATGGATCCTCCACCGTAAATGGTTTGGGGGTGGGGGTAGTACTTACCTCGCCTTAAGGCAAGTCCTTCGAGTATGCACTCAAAGTTTCATTCTGAGCTTCGAATAACGAAGCAGAATATGAGGCGGTGATTGCTGGCCTAGAGTTTTGCATATCGTTGAAAGCCGAGCATGTCTGCCTGAAAATAGACTCTCAGCTCGTCGCAAATCAGATCCGAGGCAAGTACGAGGCGAAAGAGCCCTCAATGATTGCTTATCTCGCAAAAATCAAAACGATAATTGCGAGGCTGAGAACTTTTGAAGTCGAGCTGATCCCAAGGGGTCATAATGCACAAGTCGATACACTCTCCAAACTTGCAAGTTCAACTCTAACCGAGTTAAACTGATCTGTTTATGTGGAGGTGCGATGAGAAAGAAGTGTTGACAAAGCACCTGAAGCCTGCTGCGTCGCGCAGGAACCGAGCTAGATGGATCCCATCCCAGCTTACAAACTTCGAGGAGAAATTCCCAAAGACAGAAACTTAGCCTCCAAACTGAAGAAAATCAGCTCAAGGTTCATCCTCTTTAGAGGAGAGCTATTGAAAAAATCCTTCTCAGCCCCACTGCTGAAATGTGTGGGACCAACAGATGCTGATTACATCATTCGGCACTACTACATTTTTGACCTATTGCAACCCCCAAATCCGTTGCATTAGATGTCAATATCCGTGGCATTAGGCCTGATGCAACGACTATGTACCATGGCATCTGCTAGCGTTGCAGTAGGTCTAATGCAACGGTATATGACACCAATTGCCACGACATCTATGATCCGTTTCGTTAGCTCAATACCTGATGCAACGACACAAATTATCCGTGGCAATAGATTACTGACTAATAAATATGATAAATTGACACCTAATGCAACGGATGAAGCTAATACTATGATATATGGCGTACATATCTAATGCAACAGTAATATATATATATATATATATATATATATATATATATATATATATATATATATATATATATATATATATATATATATATATATATATACACACACACTAATTAGTCACTACAAATCTAAATATACTAACAAATGGGAACAAAATGTCATTATATTTATATATAATAATTATAATGCTAATTACATACATTACAAAATATTACTTTTTTGTTTTCGGTATGACACCCTACTAATTAATAAATAAAAGTTAGATAATTAATTTAATCGTCCAAAATATAAATTTCAACATACATATAAGCTGGAATTTCCAAATCATCACAAACTTGAACTTAATTAACAGAATTAGAGTCGCCAACATATATGCACCATTTGTTAGATGACTAGTCACTATAATTCATCTCCATTTAGCTCACCATGCACCTACACGTAAAATAGAATAAAATAATATAACTAAATAATAGAAAAATAATAGAACTAAATCAAGGAAACTCTTAAAGCACAACAAATGTAGTAGTCAATAACTAAGTATTGCTTTTGACATATTATATAAGAACCTATTATACACTTTCTTTAAGACAATAATATATAATCGATAAAGGTCCCAATGTTGGTACATGCACTTGCAGGTTCACCGGTTCACCCACATGACAAAAATAAAACAATGTAAGATAATACTTCGTATGATACAATCCAATCGACCTAGGAAATCATCGTCTAAATACAAAAATTACCAATCAGCTCAAAGAATAAATCAATTAGCAAAAGGTAAATTTAACACAGCCATTTCTCAGTCTAACAGAAAAAGTAACGAGCCAATAAGACACTATTCAGTCAACCTAAGAGGATAAGACATCATTGTAAAAGTTTAATCGTGAGTCAACCACCTTACCTGAACGAAGCAATCATAAAATGGTAAAAAAAAATGAATCAACACCATTCAGATCATTACTCAATCAGCCAAAGAGATCATCATAGTTTGAATTCAACAAGTACTAGCCAGCTTAACTAAATGAAACAATCCTCAAAGAGGTCATTTCATACTTAAATTAACAGAAAATGTAGTCCAAAGACAACATCATCCAAGTTCGACAACATATATATAATAAGAATTTAGGTACTCCAAAAAATAGGACTTATTATAGAAACATACCAAATATTATCATAAATTAAAAATTGGTCCGTTTAAAGACTAGAACTCTAGAAGAAAGGATATGATTATATGAAGTCAAATATGGTACAAAATGTCAAAATGTAGCTGTTTCTTTTCAGCAGAATCTACACCATTAGACTTTAGCTTTGCTACAACTAATTGTTCTATTTTTTTTTTTCCTTTTCTTTTTATACAATTATATTAATTTGTTTTTAGGAAAAAAAAAAACTTATTAGTGTCTCATCTGTTTTACAAATTAAAGTTTAAATTAAATCTACACTTAATAATCCCTCTTTGTAGATTTAATCTGCAGCATCAAATGGCTTGGCTTGATAAACTTCTGGACTCTCATCTTGGTAAGAAATTGATTTAATTTATGTCATTAATTAACCACTAATATTTCATACCTACTGTAACACTGGTCACATTTAAACAAAATAAATAAAAAAAATAAAAACATACTTTCATATATATGGTAGAGGAACAAAATTGAAACTTAAGAATTGAATCAAACAACATATTACTATCAGTTGAACAGTCTGGAAGAGATGCAAAGGACCGTGACGAAAAGGAAAGAAAAGGAGTTCTAGATTTGTACCAGGGAGCTGAGAAACTAAAAATGGCCTTTGGGTAACTAACTATGCTAATTTATGACGTAATCCCTTTCTAGTTTATTTAAATTTCATAGATGGTAAGAGGCATAAGAACAGGGTAACAGAACCAAAAATATTATCTTTAACATGTGATTCATTAAGTGCAGACAATTATGCAAAAGCCTAAATTTGTGCCTACATTCCTAAGACTTGAAGAAACAACCTCAAGCACCGAGTAGTACCACACACAGCAGTTCCAAGATCTAACTTAAGAATCATGTCCCAATTGATTGATAATTTAGAGATGTAGAAGGCTATAAAAAGCATGAACATCAACAACACCAACATACAACAACAAAAAGCAGCAGCAAACAATAAAAGCATCAACCATAAATAGAAATAAAAGCAATAAAGCAACAGAGGGCATCAGAAAAATACATCATTAGTAGCAACATATCAACAGTAGCTACGCTAGATACAGGTCAGCAGCATAAAACAAAAACTAGGCAGAAGCAACAGAAAATAATTTATGTTACCCGATTAATTGTGGCCCCAGATTTAGAAAATTGACCGTTTTGGTCAACGAGAAGATGTGGCGCACTAGAGCCGATGGAATCGCAAAATCAGGGCGCTAACAAAAAACGACAAGAGTAACACAAGATGAGCAAAATATGTTAGGGTTGCAGCATATATATTATTTTTTGATCATTTAATACACTCATATGGAAGTCAGATTTAGAAAATCAAAAATAAAAAAAAAGTATCTTACCCTTAGACTACCAGTTGATCTTTATCTTGGATGTCAGTTACAGCATTATATACCACTAACTCAGGATTAAATCTTCGTCCAGCAAGCTATCAAAAATTTACAAAGAGATCAAATTATTACTCCAGCACATCCTTTAAAGGATCTCTAACAAAGACTCTGAATGCCAAGAGTCTTGAAATCTAGATAAACACTTCAGCACATATTACATAGGGGTGTTCAGATCTGGGTACCCGGATTTTCGGGTAGTTGATAAGTCAGCCTGTGTCCCGTCCCGGATACCGGGTACCCGAATTATCCGGGACGGGACACGGGTATCCGGATTATATTTATCCAAAAGGAGTGAACGGAGAAACCCAAAACGTACCTCCTCTCCTTCTAAGCCACCATCAAAATCACCCCACCACCACCGCAATTCACCACCTACCACCGCCTAAATTCACTCCACCACCACCAAAACCTCCCACCAACCCAGGTCCACCACCAAAACCCCAAACCCACAACGAACCGACAACCTAACACCACCAAAAGCCACAACCCACAATCGAAACCAACCCAACAAAACCCCACCCACACCAAATCGAAACCACCACCACCAAAATTTAACCAAATAATTACCAGAAATCATATCATATAAATGGATTTATTAAAAATTCAAAAAAAGAAAGAAAATTAAAAACAAGAAACCATACCTTTTAAACCGAAAATGGCCTTGAATTTCACCTCGGATTTGGTTTAAAACGGTCAAATTCGACTAGGAAAACTCTAAATCTAGAGTTTTCATGGTTGAATTTAACCATTAAAACCTTCCCTTTGATCATAAAAACCGAAAGAGAAAAAAAGAGGAGAATGAGAGAAGCGTGAGAAAGAACAGAGGAAAGAGAAAGAAGGGAGGAGAGGAGAAGAGGAGAGCAACGAAACTGAAAAGGAGGAAAGAGAAAGCAGAGAGGAGAGGAGAGGAGAGGAGAGAGAAAAAGTGTAACAGGGGGAGGAGGAGAGAGAAAGAGGAGGATGGGGCTGAAAATGAAGGAGAAGAAGATAGGGTGTGGGTGGGTAATGGATACTATCCGTAACTTTTTTAAGGTTACTTTTTTTTTTTTTTTTTTTTTTTTTAACGGGTATCCGGGCACCCGATAATTGCAAAGCTTGTCCCATGTCCCGGCCCACGAAAGTGCTATTTTACCGGGACGGGTACCCGACCCGGAAAAAACAGAACATTTTGAAAATTTCCCATCGGGTTTTTTGCGGGTTGTCGGGATATCGGGATGGGACAACTGGTCGGGTTTTTTTGAACACCCCTAATATTACATTAACATTTATAGATTGCTCTACAAACATATACAATTCTTCAATATAGTGACCAGTAGATATTGGCAAAGAAAAATAAACAAGAGAAGGAGCTCAGGCAGTAGGTATTGGCAAAGCTAAATATTGCATAACTAAAGTGCAAAATGGCCAAATTGCCAAAGTTTTACTTCGAAGTGTGACCAATTCAAATTTTGAAGAAGTCAAGCGTAGAAGTGATATAGAATTACAGGTTACTTAATCTTTTATGGGTTGTCATAATCGCGCAATTTTCTACCATCTCGTCCCGAATATTTAGTTTAGCAACAATCACAATTGTTGACTATACTACTCATTGTATTAGTCTAGCTTGACTTGTTAGCAGATGATGGTCATTGACTAATTACGATCATTAGCTTATTTTGGAAAGATATTGGTGTGATAAGGTCAGCATTTGAGTGCTTGTAATTTATTATCTTGACATTTTAGATAAATGGTTTTGCCACAACTCTGACGCACTAAATTTTTTTTTTTATTTTTTATTTATTATCTTGTAATTTATTATCTTGACATTTTAGACGATAATCTTTCACGCATTATTAAAAAGACGATAAATGTTTAAAAAGAATTTTTTTTTTTTGATACAAACTTAAAACAAACACATTAAGTGATTAAACAATACTCCGTATTATTAAAAGACGATAAACTATAATTTGCTTGAAATTATTGGTTCAAATTCTCTATTTCATAATTTGTTTGATTCCATAGTAGAACACTAGAACTATATACGAAGTATATGATTTGATTTAAAAGAAGCCAAATCTGCTGTTAGCCGTAGCATTTGATGATTAATGGTAAGGCACAAGAGAAACAGCCCCCACAGAACATAAAACTACATCAGAGAAGGACTTGTAAGATTGTCTTATGAAGATCAGACAATCTTTTAATTTTTTTTTCAATCATTCACCCTAAAAAATGTTCTACCATTTGTTGTGTACATCAACCTTTGGTTGACGCACGTCACGCACTAATATGGAATTTCAAGGAAAAGACTTAAAATAACAGATAAACTAATCTATCTTTCTGTTTCTCTGATATTTTCAGCTCAAATTCTTTTTATTTTTCCAAAAATTAACCACATTGTATATGGCCGCTAATTAGATTTGTCGTGGAAAACATTACTCACTCAGATCGTTTCTCACCCAACTCGTTCCCTCTCTGCAAATACAAATTTGAACTAAGTAATTTCATCTTCCTATTACCGTAATTTATGGCCTCAAATACAAATTTGCAAGCACAACAACTAAAAGTTCAAATTAATCACCACGACATGCAACAACAAAACTTTTAATTAAGCAATCTCAAAAACAAAACTATGCCGTATACCTTAAACAGCAATTCGAGCAATCAACCACAAGGCAGGAACATGCAAGATGAAAATGGGAGTTGTCGGAACCGCCTGAAACTCGCAGCCACCGCCTGAAACTCGCAACCACCGTCTGAAATTCAAGCAATCAGCCACCGCTTGAGTGCCGCTTTCGTCTACTTGCTCAGATTTCTTTGTTTAATTTTCCTCTCAGAAATTTTTCAATAATTTTCCTACAGTAATTAAGGGCTTCAAAAATGGAGAACTGGGGGAAAATGGGTATAGTGCCAAGATGTGAGAAAATGGGTTTTGTTAAGAGAAGCAGCTTTCTTACTATTTTCTTTTCTTTTTTCTTTTTAATTTTGTCTTTGAATAGGAACACATGTAAGGGGTTTTAAATTATTAGGGTAAAAGTAGAGGGAAGTCATGAAAATTTCCGCGCAATTTAATATTTCATTACATACCGTTGCATCAGTTTTCTTGGTTGTTGAAATAGCAAGGCTAACGTAACGGTTCTTTAGAGCCGTTGTATTAGCTCTACCTCTTAGAATATTAGAGGTGAATCCGTTGCATTAGCCTTTATTTAGTCGTGGCATTAGGTAAAAAAAATGTAGTAGTGCGGGAAATTTACCTTGGCATCTGCGAAAACCACATCGGGGGGAGAACACTGGCCCACAAGGCATTGAGAGCAGGATACTACTGGCCCACCATGATCCTAGATGCTAAGGAGCTCGTAAAAAAATGCGAAGAATGTCAAAAAATTTCACCAGTTATCCATTAGCCAGCCCGAGATCTCCAAACGATTCTGAATCCTCTTCCATTTGCTCAATGGAGTATGGATATCTTGGGGCCGTTTCCTGATGCTCCGTACTAAAAAAGATGGTTGATAGTCAGCATCGACTACTTCAGCAAATGGATTGAGGCCGAGGCAGCCTCGAACATCACAAGCAATCTGTCCGGAAATTTATCTAGCAGAATATAATCACTCGCTTTGGAATTCCGAAGGTATTTGTCTTCAATCATGGGAGGCAATATGACAATTTGCCGCTAAGGCGGTACACTGATCGATTCGGCATCAAGTTGGCTTATTCTGTTGTATGCCATCCGTATAGTGACGGTCAAGCCGAAGCGACAAACAAGCAGATTCTCAACGCGCTCAAGAAGAGGGTTGAGGATCAAAAGTCCAAGTGGATACAGAAACTCCCAGGAACCCTCTGGTCAATTCGGACAGAGGCTACGAGACATTAGCCATTTGAGCTGGTGTATGGATCCGAAGCCGTTTTTCCAGTGGAAATCGACACAGAAAGTCTTCGGGTACACCACTTCTCAGCCGAATAAAATGAACAACTCATGAAAGAATCCCTCAATTTTCTGGATGAGGTCAGAGATTTGGCTCAAGACAATATGGTTGCATACAAACAAAGAATCGAAGGGTCAATGCAAGATCACTCAAGATTGGGGACTTGGTTCTTCGAAATGCTGTAGAAGTGCAAAAAAGCCGCATTCATGGGAAGCCCTCAGCCACTTGAGAGCGACCCTATAAAATTTACGAAGAACTTCAACCTAGAACCTATCGCTTCGTCAGTTGGATGGAACCGAACTGAAGAACCACTGGAACGCTGATGTACTGAAAAAATATCATGTGTAAGCCCTTCGGGTAAGAACAATCTATGTAAGTATATCTTTTGAAATTAATGATAGGCCACCGAGCCACCATTCTTATCAATTTTGCAAGTTTCTATTTTCCGTCTTCAATGTTTTTTGAAAAAAGGTTTTCCTTCGGTACTGTCTGAAGTATAGCCAACAGTGGCACTGTACTTCGGATTGCTGTCAAACCTGTCCAACAGGGAACAATGATTTCACAACCGAAGTATAGTCATACGAAGGCACTGTACTTCGGACAAGTCAGTTCCTTAGGGCAAAGAGGTCGTGGACAAATTTGAAGCATAGCCAATCACTAGTATCGTGCTTCAGAGGAGTTATGTCTGAGGCATTGCCAAACACTGGCATTATGCTTCGGATAGTCATTCCCTCGAAAAATTTCAAGGATCGAGAGAATACTGCTCTCGAAGTCTAAGACTTCTGAGCAGCGAACTCATAAATTCTTCCAAAAAAAAAAAAAAAAATCAGAAACTTCAAAAATTTTGCTAAGTAGTACAGGGCAAAACGAAGTAAAACTTCGTGTGTGCGAGTAAAACCAAGAAAACACCTTAAAAGTCTGAAGATTAAAACTTCAAATTTTTTGGAGGCAAAAGCACTCAACAGCCCCACTCCTCCAACAAGTTGGGGACTAGACAAGTCCAAGCCGAAGCTCAGCACATAGAAAATTTTTGCAAAAAATTTACAAAAAAGCAAGTAAAGAATTGAACTAAGCAAAAGAGCAAGGCAGTTGGAAAATAAAGCAATGCATTTCAAGCAAACAAATAATGCTCGGATCACCGAGCTACATCAAATCAAGTTCAGAAAACTCAAGAAACCAAATATTAATCGGCAGCCGTCCACAAGACGGATAAAAGCAGCTGCCGAACTAAGTACAACTACTAAAAAACAAAAACAAATTAAGAGTTTGTACATCAAGGCGAGCTTAAGCAAAAAAGGTTCAGAGGCAAAAACAGATGTGGCAAATTTTAAAATTAAGAGCAAGTTGACCCACGTGACTCTGTAGACGATTGCCCTAGTTCCTATGCTTCAGCATTGGCAGGATCAGGCTGAGGAGTTATTGGATCTTGGCCCCCAGAAGTTTTAGCACCAGCAGAAGAAGAGGCGGGTTGAGCAAGAGCTTTCTTAGATTCTCTCTTATGAGTTGCTTCTCTCTTTTTCCTTGCAGCTTCCTCTTCCTCTCGAGCTTCAGCTTCAGCTTGACGAGTCAAGAAGTAAACTTCAGCTTGGCCGGCCTCCCTCAAATGAATATCCCGCTCATCCGAGGCCCATACTTCCACCTGATCCCAGTTAATGTTAGGCTCAGCATGGAAAGCCAGTCGCTGAGCTACGTTAAACCCATTCTCGTAGCCCTCGTCATATTGGCCTTGGTATTGATCCGCACCTGCAGGAGCTTCTAAGCCTCCTTGAGCTCAGTCTGAGTCTTGGCAGCCTCCTCCTTCTGGGCCTTTAGCAGATCCTGAGCCTCCTGACAGGATCTAGTCGTATCACCTAATCAAAAGTAATTTACCTAAGTCCTCTAACTAAAGTAGATAGGGAAGTAGGGTCGAATCCACAGGGAAACAA